CCAACACTGTACAGTCTCTAAGGTGTACACCAATACTGTACAGTCTTTAAGGTGTACGCCAAAACAGCGCAGTCTCTAAGGTGTACACCAACACTGCGCAGTCTCTAAGGTGTACGCCAACACTGCGCAGTCTCTGATGTGTACACCAACACTGCGCAGTCTCTAAGGTATACGCCAACACTGCGCAGTCTCTGATGTGTACACCAACACTGTACAGTCTCTGATGTGTACACTAACACTGCGCAGTCTCTGATGTGTACACCAACACTGTGCAGTCTCTGATGTGTACACCAACACTGTGCAGTCTCTGATGTGTACACCAACACTGTACAGTGTCTAAGGTGTACACCAACACAGTGCAGTCTCTAAGGTGTTTAATTGGTCATTTTCTGCCCTGGGCCACCGTTTGACCTGGCCCTGTGAGGATTCTGTGTCATGATTGCATTGGATGTTCACAATGAAGACTGAAGTCTTTAACGGCTCTGATTCTGAAGCAGCCAAGAAAGACAGGACTACATTTCTGGCCACTGTGATATATTGTATTGAGAGTCAGCTTAGACTTTGGTCTCCGCTCCATCACTTGAAAATTGAGTATTTATTTCTGGGTGGGTGGCTTAACTTGTCCCAGTGTGTGTTTCCTCATCTATGACAAGAGAGGATGGCGCTGCCTTCCCACCCATGAGGACTGTGAATGGAGAGGGACGTGCGTGAAAAGGCTGAGACACAGAACATGAGTAAGCCACTTAAAGCATAGTTTATAGTTGTTGTTGTTAAGTACTTTAGAGTTAGTTCTGACCCATAGCCACCCTGTATAGGGTTTCTGAGGAGCTGCTGGGGAGCTTGAACTGCTGAACTTCAATTCAAACCTACTTTGCAGTCAGCACATTAACCCCAGAGCTCAATTTTGTGGTAAGCATATTTAATACGAGGGGGCTTCAAAGAGTTTGTGGAACGTGAAATTCAAGATAATGGACTTTTAACACAATTTTTTTGATGCGCCTTCGTATGTGATTATTCTTGGGGAACATGTCAGCCCATACATAAATGAAGGGGGAAAAAGCCCACTTTCTCCATCGGGCAGTTTTCTAAACAACAGTCTGCTCATAGGAATAGTGGACCACTGATTTGAAGGTGCCTGAAAGTTTGCAGTTTTCAGGTAGAAGGAACCTCTGTAGCAAGCTGATGGGTACATGGCATGGGGCAAAAAGAAGGATGCTAATCGTACAGTTGTGTTAGTAAACTAGGACCAGTTGGATTGCTGACTTGTCCCATGAGAGTTCATGTGTCAGAACATCTTTCCTGCTTCTACCCATAAAGAGGCAGCTGTCAGTGTTGCCGAGCAGTTGGGCCAGCCCGGCCAGTTGTTGATTGTTGGGTGAGACCGCTGTGTCTAACCTGGAGGCGGGACAGGGAAATATACAGGCTGCACACAGGCCTGTGTGTGTGTACAGGGTCACCCTGTTCTCAGGCCCACGTGTTCGCGTGCAGATTTCATACTGCAGGTGGTTAGGCTAAGTGTTGGAGAACAGACGCTACCATCAGATGGCGGGAGGCAGGTCATGGCTCTACCACTTTTCTAGCTGTGTGACCTTAGGCAAGTTGCGTCACCTCTCTGGATCTCGGTTTCCTTAGTTAGAGAATGAGGATAAAAATATAATCTACCATATCGAGTTGTTGCATGTGTAAAATGCGGGGCTGTATGTTAGCTCTGTGAATGTGGTTGGTCAGTGCTCAATAAATGTTAACCATCATCGGCAGTTTTCTTTAATAAAGCGGTTATGTCACTAAGAAACTTTGCCAGATCAAAAATTAGATTCTAACAGAGAAAGTGAAAAAAGAATGAAGAGCTAGGGTATTTCAGACTCTGAAAACTGAAATTAGGATTGCTCTTAACGATTATACTATCAGTGCTTGGGTGTGTGGGTTTCCTGGCTTTTTAAAAAGTATCCAATTTTGAAACTGCAAATTCAGCCTTTGATTGTATATTTCTTTTGCGCAAAGTAGCTGCTTTTTTCCCCCTGCTGTCACGGCTCAACACAGAACAAGGCCATGTCACTAGCCTAGTGCCATCTGTCTCTAGGTGGCTGGTAGGGCCTGACGGGGATACTGTATAATTAGTAGTAGTTCGGTTATGTAAGTCGCAATACCTAAATAATTAATTGTCTTATTTCCTATTGGACTAAGAAAACTCAAGCTAGGAGGCAGATGTTAAAAGAAAGAAGACACAGATTTACAGGAAACGCGCCTTTGGTTGGAAGCAAGTAAACAGATTTGTTGGTTTATGGTGAGGACGTGTTCTGATTTTGCTCTCTGTGATAGTTATCTTCTGCCATGCGTCACATTCTTTCCAAACCTGGCAGCAAATGCTCATGGGTCCGGAATCTGGGAACGGCCTTTGAGTGGGAGTCTGAGCCTGGGTCTCCCACAAGGCTGTAGTCACACTAGTGGCCAGAGATGCAGTTAGCTGAAGGCTTGGCAGAAGTAGAAGGAGCACTGCTTTCTGGCTCACTCCAGTGGCTGTTGGCGGCAAGTGTGAGCTCCTTGCCAGGTGGGTGTCTCTATAGGGTGGGTTTCAGCACAGCAGCTGGCTTCCCCAGAGTGAATGATCTAAAAGCAAGAGGAAGCACATCTGTGGTGAAATGAATGCTTTTATGTGACCTTTTTCCTTGGTTCTTTGGGAAAAATTGCTCAAGAAATTTTCCTCTTGGGCCTTGAGGGGTTCGTTTTTGCCCTTGTCTTCTCCCTAAAGGGTTTGTTTCTTTGGCCCAGGTTGATTGCTGTCTCTTGGGAAGGCTGTCAACCACTTGTGATTCGATACTTTAGGCTCATCCTGGGCTGCAGCCTGCCCTTGGATCGGTGTGCA